TATAGGATATAAATTTCAACTTAGGAAGAAATTGCAAGCATAGCTATTTGTAATAGCAAAAAATGTAAATTATTCTTATAATGACAGACCGCAAGAAGGATCTGGTGAAGTTACAAGCCGGCGAGTACGTGTCCCTCGGAAAGGTGGAGGCGGAGATGAAGACGTGCCCGATCGTGGAGAACATCTGCGTGTACGGCGACAGCTCCAAGACGTACACGGTGGCGCTGCTGGTGCCCAACCCGCGCCACCTCACCGAGCTAGCCGCCAGGATCGGACTCCCGGAGATGGACTTCGACCAGCTCTGCCAGAACACCGCCATCGAGAAGGCAGTCGTCAAGGAGCTGGCCGACCACGCCAGGAAATGTAAGTATTCTATATTCAAAACTGCCTACATTAAGTTTATTTTAATAAAGAATTTTCTATTCTATTCTATATTTGTATGACTGGAAAAAATTGTGGTTTAGTAATAACCTGATGTCAAATGTTTGTGTGAAGTATATGTGACTGTTCCATGAAGGGACATCCAATCACCGAATTATTGCAGAAACTCTTTGTTAGGGTCCTTTGTGATATATGTATTATCAGAGATATCATTCAACATATAAACAAAATATTTGTTGTATACAGCAAACAAACTAATGATTTCTTTTTTTAATGGAAGTCTATGGAATTGTTCACCCATCTGCATTAATAGATTATGTTAGCAGGGAACCAGTAGAGGATGATAATGTCAGGTTAGTTGACCCATCGTGACCTATACACTTGGAATTTATGATGACGGTTTCCAGGGGAACCACGTGGAGATCAACCAGACTCTGATTGAGTAATTAGTTCGCATTACTATCAACAATCTATTAAGCGTGAAACATCATCATAGAATGCTTTTCTTCAAGAATATAAATATCTGTCGTTCGTGTCTGACTGATGTTTTGGGATTAATAGTACCTGTAGAGAGTTTGTTCTAAGCTGACTGTTTTAATTCTTGCAGGCGGACTGGAGAAGTTCGAAGTGCCCGCGGCTGTGAAGCTGTGTACGGAGGTGTGGTCCCCGGACATGGGGCTGGTCACGGCCGCCTTCAAGATCAAGCGGAAAGACATCCAGGAGCGGTACAAGGAGGACATCAAGCGGATGTACGCCTCCTGAACGCTCCCCCGCCTCTACACCGTGCGACCTGCTCACCGGCGACACTCCTCCGGTCCAACAGTTCTCGGAGACCAGGGAGGAAGAGCCTCGCTGGTCTCCAGCACTGATGGGGTCGCGCCCTACGCTCCCCCGGGGCCTTCGTCTTGTAAATTATTTAACCTCCGGAGATTCGGTTCGTAATTGTGAATCACATAGTTTTGAAAGAGATTAGGCCTGAAAATTAATAGAACGTATTTGTATATTGGCACACATCACACGTAAAGATTTTAGATAATGTAACGTTTTATATAATAATGCCAAATTTATGTGGGTATTACTGTCTGTAGAGTAATCTTAATTCCACGGCCGATGGACGCAGTTACAAACGAATGCATTTCACGTGTACACTGCCGCACGTGCAAGGTAGAGCGAGACGCACGCGTGCCGTCTCACTCTTTCTCACACGTGTCGTAGCGTGAAGGTGTCCAGAAATATATCTCGTTTGTCGCTCGTCCGGAGGGCCAGATTAATTAATTATATTAATAATGAATCATGATTAAAATTTTAGCTTCGATCGGTTCTAAGTTTCTAATTAATTTGTATAAGTCTTGTACATATTTATTTGTTTTGCGGTAGTTTGTATTTGCGGTATAAAAAATTATCTGTGCGATTGATGACGGATGCATGCGAACGTTTTCTGTAAAAAGTACACTTTACTGGTTTAGTTTGTCGATGAAATCGTAACTCGAAAGATTTATTGTAATTGTGTATAATGTAGATTCGTAGATAATTTATAGATCTGATGCGGTGTGTAAATTGCGAGCAGTGATCGGTGTGACTGGATCATATTGTGTCTGACTAATGTAGAATTTACAAATTTGTAAACTAATTTCCATTCGATTCTGATGCGATATGAACATATTTTGGCTGGACTAACTGTTTTTACCGGTTTTTGTTTTATGTCTGCGCAACATTCGGTTGTGACAGCTATACTCGTGGTCCCGCCCGTCAGAATCGAAATATTTATGGCCTAGCCCGTAAATTGAAGTAATTATATTCCGCACCTGGCAACACTTCATTATACATTAAACAAAAAAGACAGTCAGTTGCTCGGTGTGGACATATAGCGGTGTTTAGCGTAAGTTCACTGTTAGTACTTAGGGGATCTGGGGTTACCTTTGCTGATGTTGATATTTTTTAAAACAATAATTTCGCAATAATTGTATTCGATCATTTTGTCATCGTTTGTGCGTCGAATGATTTGTTAGTGCATAGTGATGTCGCATAATCATTTAGCCAATGGTCCGTAACGCACGGTGGGCGGTGCGGGCGGATATGTTTGTTGATTAGTTTTATTTCGTGTATGGCTGCTGTAATTTTGTAAAATCTTACCATGTGGCTAGTCAGATGCTAGGAATTACAAGCATTTTATTGTTACCCTCGACGCATTTCGCTGAGCATTTACATCCCTTTAAGATGTAAACCCGATGTATTGGCGCGTGAAATTCAATTTATATATGTGGTATATTAAATATTTCACCTATAATACATATAATTCCATAACGTATTTAATATGCATGTTACTAGAATCGGTAGCAACATATTTTTCGATGTAATTAATCGTTTTGATATGAATTGAAGTAATTATCGTATATGTAACAATTACATAATGTTGATAGAAATTATTGGCTCAGGTCATGTGAGTGTATTTTGTTTGAAATTCTTGAATATTGAAACCGAAAACCATTTTTGTATTATTTATTCAATAAATGTTAATAAAATCATTATTACTGTTTTTTATTTCAATTTTCATTCCTATATCAGTAATTCGCTGTATTGTAACGGAGCAGAAACCTGAAAAATGGAAGTACTTTATTTTTATTCAACTGTGATATCCACAATTTTAGCTGATTGAAATAGAAATAGATTTTTATTCAAATATACCTAATATAGGCATTTTTGAAGTCACAATATTTGTTATTCTACCACTCATTTGGAACGCAAACTCATCACTCATTACATGAAGAACATACAAGAAACTTGTGTGTTGCACTTTTAAATGAATATTTAACACATGACTAGAGTGGTAAATAAGAAATTCATCCAACCCGTCCCTTTGGAAATAGGAACTAGTGACCCTATTGCTGGTGACCTATGGGCTGCCTGACCCGACTTCACCCTCTTTGTATAATCCTCCACTGGTCCCAGGATATACGATTAGCGCAGGCGAGTGCTGTTCATCTGTGGCGGATTTACTTACACTGAGCAGCAAGACTTGGCTACTTATGGTTGATTCTTTGAAAATAACCTTGAATCCCTTTCTCATATTATATCACTTTTAATTGCTCCAAGAAATATACATATGTAAATAAACACTATTAGTCTCTGTCTGACCTCCACGCAGTTCCCTCATGAAACTTTGTTGATCAATTCCTGGTGAATTTGCTACGATGGACTAACTGACCTGACCTCATGTGCATTTTATATTTGTCCACTGGTGCTACGTCAGCGCAGGCGGGAGCACCATTCCGTTATTTCTCTCATATACAAAAATGACTTATTAGTCTCGCCACAGATAATATAATATTACATAGTCTCGCTATGTAATATGTTATCTGTGATCTCGCTAAAAATCCAAATCGGTCTTTATTAGGCTAATTTAGCATGGAAAGTAGTGAAAAAAAAACAATTTAATTTTCCCATACAAACTATTCGTATGTAACTCAGACCTGCACCCTGCGTTCAGAAATTTATTGCGTTCAAAAAACCTTTGACATATTATTTTTATTACGGAGGCGGAACGGGTGTTGGTTAGTCATCTGTTTAGAGTATTTATTCCTTGCTAGCAACGGCGGATTCAGATCCTGAGCTCAGGACTTAGGTGGACCACTAATTGAACATAATGATTTTATTTATATATTTTGACACGATACATATTTTATGTATACCTTCAATATTTAATTATTTATATTTAAATAGTGCTTCTCTGGATGTCTTCAAGAGATGGCAATATGTACGTGTACCTATATGTACAAGTTATTAAGTGTTAAGTTTTTGAAGTGTACAATAAATAATACATATTTTTAAGTACAGTACTTACGTACATTAATAAAGCTATTTTATAACTTGTATCTATTGTTATCAAAATTAAATTATAAATTCTTGACTTGACCACGATTCTGTGACCCCCTCCTGGCGCCAAAGCTGGATCATCCCTTGCTTGCTAGTCATTAATAAAAAAAAATAGGAGGTCGGTGACATTAGTACATATAGAGTTGTCATCACAGACAACATAAGTTTACTCTTCGTATTAGCAGATTCCAATTTACTATGAATAGAGCAGCAATTTATTTATACAGCACAATGTTAAGCGTAAGTATGTCTGTTTGCGTACGAATCCTTTCATAGAATTTATCGAAATTATATTTGATATGAAGTTAGATTGTATCTCAAATAGGTCCCTACTTGTTATACAATCAAAATTTTTAAAGTTTTTTTTTATCTTCAAAATCAGACAAAGTTGATGTATCCTTGGATACAAAACTGCGCCATCTAGTACTGCGATAAGCAGAGCTTGTTATGCAACAAATAATGGTTATGGGTATCAGACAATGATATAGGGGAAAGGGATTATTAGCAATGTGAACTAATAACTCCATTACTAGCAATGTACCATCTCAGGATGACCTCCAGGCGGTTCCCCCTGGAAATCATCGGGATAAATTCCTTGTGAATATCTCACTATGGGCTAACCGATCTACCTCTTGCTCATCTTATCATCTTCCACTGGTGCCCAGCCAGCGAAAACCGTTAGCGCAGGTAGGTGCACCATTACTTATCATAGCTAATAAAAACAATAGATATAAATATTACATAAAGATAATATATACAAACAATCATACTCATGAATACAATAGTTTTCACCGTGAGGAATCGAACCAGCGACCATCGTATGTAAAGCGGTGCTAAACTTTTGACTACCGAGACGATCAATGTCTGAACAAATGTAGGCATTGAAATAAAACGGAATTATTATAATAATATATTTATTTATATGCCGTAATGTATAAGTGCATTATCAATTGAAATGTCATTAAACTAGTATAATGTTAATTACACTCGTGACCGATGTGACATCGTGAACGATGCTCGACTGCGGCTGTGATACAGAAGGGTACCTTATCTACAAATTCCTATCCAGGCGCACGACACACATACGAATATAAAACAAAAAAAAGAGCCCGAAAAGATTTCTGTGAGTCAATATTGGACAGAATATGTATAATTTTGATTGAAACTTAGCATAAAAGAATAAGGTATTTTAGCAGTAGCTCCTTTTACATAGAATAGAATAGAAAGTAATTTATTTAAATAAACTTAATTTAAGCACTTAGGAATAGTCATAGTTATCTTTCTTTTAATCTACCGTTCATTCGGAAACTTGTCACAATCAGAAGATATATTAATAGTATAATTTTGCTAAACGGGATTTTTATTATGGCATCGTGCGGACCGGACTATACATTGCTATATTGTTTAGGAAACGAGGTTACATGATTAAGGCATGGAACGCTATTCCAGCGCGGAGGTGCGACCCTCTTAGGAGGTGCTCATCTTGCAGAGATGCCTGAGCTGCATGATCTTGATGTCGTCGGTGCCGAACTTGACGACGCCCTCCTGGTTCTCGATGGAGATGAGCTGTCCGACGGCCTCGCGGTCCTCGCCGGCGATGACCTTGACCTTGTCCCCGCTCTGCGGCACGACGGGCTCCAGCAGGTCGGCCAGCACGTTGACGACGCGGTCCTCGAGCGGCACGTACACGGCGCACATGCCGCCCGACACGCCGCGCAGCACGCCCGCCTGCCCGGCCAGCGCCGCGTCCTCGTGCGCGCGCAGCCGCACCTCCACGTCCGGCGACGGCCAGTCGGCCGCCTCCTCCGCCGCCGCCGGCGAGCGCGGCGAGTACCCGGCCGGGCTGGGCGTGCCCAGGTAGCCGGCCGGGTACCCGGACGGGCTCGGGCTCGGCTGGTACGGGCTGTAGGTGTGGTCCGAGCCGTACATGGTGCCCGGCGTCTGCGGCGTGAAGGGCCCGGCGCGGTAGGGCTGCGGCGGCTCGTAGCCGGCGTCGTCGAGCCCGTAGTCGAAGTCGGGCGCGCGCGCGGGCGTGGCGGCGGCGGCCGGGTCCCAGGCGCCGTGCGCGGGCGTGCGGCCGCCCTCGTGCGAGGGCGTGGCCGAGCCGTAGTGCGGCGTGCGCGCGCCCGCCTCGTACACGGGCGTCTGCGAGCCGTGCATCGGCGTCTTGGCGCCCGCGTCCCGGTACGAGGGCGTGTGCGCGGGCGTGCGCGCGTACGAGCCGGCCCCCGCCCGCGCCCCCGCCCCCGCGCCCGCCCCCGCGCCGCCGCCCGCCCCCGCGATGTGCCCGCGGTCCACCGAGATCGTCTGGCACGTGGAGTGCAGCTCGACGCGCGCCGTGCTGCCGGTGGCGTCCTTGACGATGCCCACGTTGCCCTTGTAGGGCCCGCCGGTGATCTTGATGGTCTGCCCGATGAGGTCGCGGTCGCGCGCGGGCCCCCGCGCCCCGCCGCGCCCCCGGCCGCGCCCCGGCCCGGCGCGGCCGGCGGGGTGGGCGGGGTGGGAGGGGTGGGCGGGCGACTGTATGCGCGGCGACATGAAGCCCGGGGAGGGGTTCCCGGCCGCGCTCTTGTTGCCGCCGGCGAGCTGCAGGTGCCGCGTCTTGCACACGAACACGCCGCCGTTGTCGAGGTACATGCGCGACTGCAGGAACGCGAAGTTCCTGTAGAGGTGCTTGATCTCGCCGTTGCGGCCGGCGTGCGGGCCGTCGATCACCTTGACGATGTCGCGCTTCTGGATCGTATTCTGCTCGGAGTCGAGCGCCATCGTGAACCGGTTCTCGCGACGCTTCTGCAGCGCCTGCGGCTTGCACTCGATGACCTTGCCCTGCATGCCGAGCACGTGGAAGTTCTCCTTCTCGAGCCGGACTATGACACCCACGGTCTGCGGGTCCAGCTGCACCATGTCGCCCCACTGGAACTGGCCGAGGGAGTCGACGCCGGTGGCCATGTCGGAGCACAGTTGCAGATCGCGCGGTAGCACCTCCAGCTCGTGCATGGTGAGATCGGACACCAAGACTACGCGATGTGGTTCTACGCGAACGATCAAGCCGGTGTCTCCTTCGTACCGACCCGCCAACACTTTCACGTGATCGCCCTGCTTGAAGTACTTCCTCAACTCGTTAGGTTTAAAGACGAGAGGATCCTTTAAAGCGTCGTGTTTCGGCATTACCGTGATCATCGATCCGTCGATAGCGATGATTCTCGCCTGCAAGTTGGCCAAATCACCAGAACATACTTCTACATTATCACCCATAGAGAATGAGTGCAAACTAGTTGGGTCGTCTTTGGCAGGTGCGACTAATTCTATATCGATACCCTCTGGTTGTTCTTCAAATCTTTCTAACTCAGTCAAAGTAGGCTTAACACCTTCAGCTAAAATGGCAGACATTGTAAAATTCTTATACAAGAATCCTTTTCTTGAATATCTGTTACCTTCAAATATCAAAAAGTCACCATCAGAAGTCACTTCACCACCGATGGCGCGAATAGCTTCTGGGTCAAAGGGTTTAGCCGCTGGACGCCTCTTTTTCTTCCTTTTAGCGGCTTCGCTTTCACTCTGTACAGTTCTTAAGGCTCCTCTAAGCCTGGTATAGTCTATTCTGGGAAGCAGCTTCAAGTGCACCTGATTTTGTGCCAGATCAACATAGTCCACTTGAGCTATGTCATCTTTATAGAGACCTCTTTTTAATCTCACCCACTGTTTCGGTTTCAAGCCTGACTGCTCTTTTACGACACGTAAAACGTCAGTCATTTCTTTGATAGGTACCATGTCTTGTTTCCAGATACCCATCTGTAAAGTTCCTACTTTATTGATGATGGCTTTGACGTGTGTCTGTTTATATGCCTCTATGTAAATATAACCTTTCACTCCTTCTGGAGCAACCACAGATTTAATTTGAAAGGGTTCCTCAGAGTCCTGGTATGCAATAAATTTTCTCATGAGGAGTAGTACTGTTGCCTTTTCCTCACCAATACGACATTTTACCATCCACAAATTGGGATCTTTGATTCCTGGCAACAGAGTCTGTTGTGTGATTTCATCAGACATTTCTTCGCCACCTTCACCAAAGTGCCTGTGTGCTGCTGTTTCATCGGCATATTTATTTCTGAGATACTCTTCAATTTCTTCCTCTTTCTGTGAATCCCAGAGATTAGTACCTCTGCGTCGACCCTCAATTTCTCGGGCAGTGGGTCCAATTTCATCCACTTCATTTCCAACAATGCCCATCTCTTGTGCACCCTCTTCCCATTCATCATCTTCATCGACTTCATCGTCAACCTGAAAATAATTTAAAATCATGCTACATAACAATGACAGAAGATTTGTTATTTTCTCAGAACAAAGTATTCGGTATAAGAGAAGTGAATTTTAAAGAAATTGTCCGTAAATCTCACCTCAGCTTCATCAATAATGAAACCTCCATAGCGATTGTCCTTCTTCCGTTTTTTTCTTTGTCTTGCCTCATCTTCATCCTCATCATATTCTTCAGAATCCACTAGATCCTCTCCTTCTGGTTCTTGTTCATCCTACAAAGAAATTTCCAATATGAATATAAGAATAGTTATCAGTTCTCTAAATAGGGTGTATTTCTAAGGAAATTCTGATTAACAGACATAAATAAGATGATAGTCAGCTTGAAGATAGTGTAACCTAATTGAACTAATATCGAGGGAAGGAAATACCTTTCTTTAGCATAGAATGGTTCCTGTTAAGAATAGAAAATCATTTATTCAAATAAACTTAATTTAAGCACTTTTGAATAGTCAACATTTTTTTAAATCTACCGCTTATTCAGAAAGCTGTCTCATCACAAGAAGAATAAGCAAGAAACTTGTGTGTTGCTCTTTTAAACAATCCTTGTAAGTTCACATTTTACAAGTCGAAACGTGTGAATACAAACTACCAACCAGCACTAATTTATTTAGGCTCAAATATAAAAACACAATAAGATTAAATCAGTCAGATAAGACCCAGTTAACAATATAAATAATGTCTAGTACATTATTTACTGTGCTCACGGTTTCACCTGTGTGAAATTAATAGCCCATATGTTATTCTGATGTATATGCTATATTACTGTAGTTTCATCAAAATCTGATCCATAGTTTTTGCGTGAAAGAGTAACAAATTTCCATCCATACCCAGAAACTTTCGCGTTTATAACATTATTAAGATAAATAAAAGAATGTACTCAATTCAACTGTAATTTCTTCACCAAGTGTAGTTGGATATTCATACTTCTTTTTTAATATAACAAAATTTGTCTCCTGTTCTATACTAAATCTTGTTCTAATTGATCTCTACATTTTTGTGTAAAATAACTAGTTAATATAATGAAAGTTAATTAATATATGCAAAACATATTGTTATAATTAAATTATGTTTTCATGCAGAAACATTGTCTAAATAGATGTCACATTTATTTTTACAACTGTACTGTTTTCTGTTTGTTTTTTCACGTAATAACTTTCAATTTTTTAAAAAGACCTATATATAATATTTTTGGACATACTCCATCCATAAATAGAATGGTATGTCAATGCCTTGTAAACCTACACCTGGGACATATGTCCTGGGAACTGCTCGGAGGTTCTGTCTCTGCCATATGATGGATCTGCATGGTGAATCCATACAATGCTAAGGAGTTTGTCTGTCTTATCTTTTGTGCATTAAATCTATTTTTGATAAAACAGAATTAACTTGTATAAGTCTATATGTCATTGATCCTACATAGCCATGGTAAGTAATTAATACTGGTAAAAAAATAATGCATTATCTTCCTACCTCCACATCTTCATCACCAGAAGCTTCCTTTGCTTCATTATGACTTCCATCAGATCCAACTGAGCGGCTCCTACAACATTTCTTACTTATTAACACTTCCAAAACTATATACTTTTACTACTTGATACTTCTATCTAAAATCAGTAAATTTATTATTACAGGTTTATTAACACATTTAATTTATTTAAAACAACATTTATTTAAAAGAGCAGCACACACAAGTCTTTACTTATTCTTCTAGTAATGAGTCTGCATTCTGAATGAGTGGTAGAATAAAAAAAACATGTGACTATTCAAAAGTGCTTACATTAAGTTTACTTGAATGAGACTATTTCTATTTCTACATATTGCTAACATATAATTGTGTTATATGTTATATTTATTTGTCTTGTTATGTGGCCCCCTCAATTAAAAGCCTCCTCCATTATACTCCAACCCTCTCTATACATGGTTGTTTGTCTTTTCTTTCTCTCATTCTTTATATCTTTTTTCACTCATCCTACTTTCCTTTTGCCTGTCAGGCCCAGACATTTTGTTGTTACAGTGGTATAAGAATTAGTAGAAATTTTATATTATCTACTTAAGAAGCAATAAATTCACTATTCATCTCATAATTACTCATTTTCAAGTTAAATTTTCACAATGAAAACTAGACTGTGCTTTTTCTGATCATAAAAGGTTAAATATGAACACTAACTACTAAGAAATTAAGTGGGGCCCTTACATAAAATGTTAATAATAAATATTCCCTGATCTGATATAATCTTACAACTAATAATTAATAAACAATGAAAATGTAATTTTATTTAAATATATATATAGCAAATAATCTTATAGCTCACCTGATGGACGGTAATAACCATCCATTACCTAAATAGCATCTACATAAGAATTATATTGCATTGCATGTTGTACTTTATTACATCAGCTGCCTGCCAAAAAAAGTCCTGTCAAAATCGGTCCAGCCATTTCAGAGATTAGCCGGAACAAACAGATAGACAGACAGACAGACAAAAATTGTAAAAACGTTATTTTGGTGTATGTATCTTATTTATATTCATACACATGTAGTAAAAACGGTTATTTCAATATTACAAACAGACACTCCAATTTTATTTATATGTATAGATTATGCAAGTTCATAGTTATATCATACTAGTTTTCCACAATTTAAACTAAGATTTCACAATAAATTATCATCTAAGAAATGAATCCGGCGAAAACCTTCAAGTAAGTCCTATCAGCTTAGACCCATAGTGTTGTGTATATATTATGTTGAATACCTTGAACGAGATCGGGAGTGCGATCTGGACTTGGATCGTGACCGCGTAGGGCTCCGCGACGGACTGCGGCTGCGGCTGCCGGAGCGTGAACGAGATCTGGAACTCGAGCGCGACCTGGCTGAATGATTCGACGCGACGCTCCTCCGTGACCGATTCGACACCACGCTGCCTGCATCCGACGCATTCCCGGAATAATTACTACCCTCCGAGTCAGACATGATCACTTAAAAAAGAGAATTTTAGAGCCCTTCATGCATTTATATTTTGCAAAGAAAAATACACAGTAAATCAATACGTAGCACACAACACAGACCAAAGGAAATTAAAATGGAAACGTCGCACACAATTGACACTGTTGACAGATTACAACTGTCATACAACAATTTGACATTGACAACCTTTACTATAAACAATTCATTACTTTCTTTTTGAAAGTTGTTTGTCCACAGAGTCCATAGACTGACAAAAAATTAAAATAATTTATACAGAATTTATTTATTCACTTAAATGTATAATAGTTTACAATTTTAACCTAATATTTTTGAAACTTTTTTTATTATACAATACAATATAATTGTGATATTTTTTCACTATACTTGTCTCGTTTGTTTCACCTTCCAATTCTATTGCTTATTCGCTCTGACAACTCATGGTTACAGGAGAAAAAAAGCTTTGTCTTGTCTATTGATTCTTCGTTGCCCCACCGATTTGTGTGTGAAATTAATAAAAATATTTAATTTCAATACTGCATTTTAAATAAGTCTCACGTAGTTCGTGAAATAATTTAAAATAGTACTATTTATTTTCTGTAGCTTTATATACAAATATTTTTTATTGAATAAAACAGTTGTTAATATCGTCGTCGGTCTGTTGCACGTCCCCTTTCGCTAGCTTTCGATTACATTTTCCCACAATTCGTTATAAATAATCACGAAGCTTTATAGCATATTGTATTGGAATCGATCGAGTGTGCTTGACAATCATAGTGCAGTGGTGCAGTGCAGTGTTTGGTGTTGCAATGTATCATTGAGGGCGGCGGCGCTGACCTAGGGATCCCTGGTCGGGGGTGTCATGTTGGAGACGCGGTCAATGCGCGCCGCTGACTCGGTGTGGGCGAGCAAACCACTGCCGGCACCGCACGCCATGGCCAACGCCAGGCATGGAAAGAATGCTCAGGTAAACACAACAGACGTCAAAACATCTGCACTTGTATCAGATTTATATTTAGAGTATCAAAATAATAGCTTCATATCAAGTCCCTGATGAGTTACTTACAGAGAACCAAGTACCATAGTCTTTAAGGTATATTTTTTTAAATGTTGCCTCTATAAATACTTTGTTAATAGCTTGAATCTGTCAGTGTTGTGAGTACACACAAATTTTCTCATTGAAGGTCATACACTAACATTTTGGACATTGATTCTTCAGTAATTTTTTTTTAGTTTCATGAATACTATGACTGGTTTACAGCATGCCATATATACCTTTTACAAGTAATTCTGTACATGTAACCTACCACACAAGATTATATTAATAATAATAATCTCAGGACAATTCACACAGCACAATCTTGTCCCAAGTTGAGCTAGCTAAAGCTTGTGTTATGTATACTAGATAACTGATACAAATACATAGATTTTTTTTTTAAATACACATATATTAGACATAGATAATACCCACCTATACAATCAATCATACTCATGAATACAAAATATTTGCATACGAGAAATCGAACCTAGAACCATTGGAAGTAAGGTGGTGTGCTAAACAGCTAAACCACAGTGGCTGTCATTAAATATAAAAAATATAAATGTGATTTAACATTTTGTAATGCAAAATAGTATATGAATTAATTAAATGAACAGAAACATGTAAATGAATTCTAAAATGTTAGAATAACATTGCGAAAGCAATGGGTTTATGATATTAATATACATATTTTTAAATATATATATGCGCCTGCAGTTTCACCCTCATGTCATTTATAGCCTGTGTTATTCTGAAGTATAAATTACATTACTGTAAAGTTTCATCAAAATCCGTCAAGTAGATTTTACCTTTATAATATGAGACAGATAATTTGCGGTAATTTTGAAGGTTGAAAGCTTTTATTATTACAATCAGGTTTTGTATATAGGTGACTAGTTGTTCCCGCAACTTCATTCGCGTAACATAGGCAGCAGAAGTTCTCAAATATGAATATTTTTCCCCATTTTTGTAGCATTTTTCACTGATGCTTCGCTTCTGTTGGTCATAGTGTAATATTATGTAGCTTAAAGCCGTCCTCAACAAATGGAAAAATAATTCAAAACAAAAATAATTTTTCTATTCAAATCTAGTTCCTGAAATTAGTGCATTCAAACAAACAAACTCTTCAGCTTTATAATATGAGAATAGATTACCTACCCTGCTTTCCTACTTCAAGTAGAAATAGAGAAATAGAAATAATCTTATTTCAAATAAACTTAATATAACCATTTGAATAATTACATTTTGTTTGATTCCACCGCTCATTCCGAATGCAGACTCATCACAAGAAGAATGAGCAAGAAACTTACACAAGAGTCTTGATCATTCTTCTTGTGATGAGACAGCAGAAAACTGTCTCATCACAAGCTTTTCCTCTTCTCATCCAAGCTTTTCCTTGCTCTTTTAAATAAATGTTTTAAACAGATTTACATTAACAAGGATTAGACATGGGACAATCAACATAGAAAGTGCTATGCACTAAATTTCTGATTGTCAGCGTTATGAATTCTTCTATTTACTATAATATAGACCCCTAATATTGTCTCTACCTACCCATGAATCTAAGCCACCAGTGAGGTGAATATATATACTTACTAATTTACTGAGAACATTTAAAAAATAAGTTACATATGAATGTGGATGGTTAAAAGAGCAGACAAAGGCCAAAAAGAGATGGATAGACTGTGTGAAAGATGATATGATAAGAATGAGAGTAAATAATGAGATGACTGTGAACAGAAATGAATGGAAGAGAAAAACATATTATACCGATCCCAAATAATAGGATAAGAAGCAGATGATGACTGAGAAAATTTTGTATTGTCATATGATTTATTTCTGGATCTCTCTTCTTTTTTCTTGAAGCATCTATTAATCCACTTCTGGATGTATGCCTCTTGCATAATTTTCCACTTTGTTTGATCTGTGGCACATCTTGTCCAGGTCAGATGTAATATAGGGATTTCTGGATAGGGCTATTTATCACTTAGGGAAATAACCTAAGAAATAGCCTAAGACCTTATCTCAATCCTAACACATAAAGATTAATAAAAATAGGTCAACCTGTTTAGGAGTTGAAAACAAACACTGACACAATATAATAATAATATAATCTCAGGACAGTTCACACAGCACCATTTAGACCCAAGTTAAGCTAGCTGAAGGTTGTTATGGGTACTAGATAACTGATACAAATACATATATATTATACATAGAAAACACCCAGGTCGATACAAACAATCATACTCATGAGTATTAATGTTTGTGCTGTGTGAGAAATTGAACCAGCTACCACTGGTACTGAAGTGGTCTGCTAAAGCACTAGGCCACCGAGGCTAACACAAGATTTTATATGATGATATATTAAGTGTATTGTAAAAATAATTATCTAAATCTATGCAGAATTGTCAACAATATTGCCATTTAAAGAACACAAATAATAAAGTCTTCTGTTAAGTAGAAAGTTGATAGAATTGATTTAATTAACTTAAGATGTGAACTTAATATGACATAATGTGACATAATCAGAGTGTCACAGTTCTCACAGTGTATAGAGGTATTGTGACATAAACTATAGTGATATCATTGTATAGTAAGACATTCATTTACCTATAAGCAACAGAATAGGTATAGTTTTTTCAAACTATTCTAATGCTGTTGGCTGCAATTAGCCTTTTGCAGCTTCACCCAACAGTAGGGGGCGAGTGCAGAAGGCACTCCAAACCCGTGGAAGGATTTATGGAGCGGCTGAAGGCAAACTTCTGTCTGAGGGATAGGACTTTAGTCTGAGAGCACCTCTAGGGGTTCGAACCTCAGCGCAGACTGTCGTATTTTCGATCCCTGTTTGAATTGGATGGCGTATCGATTTGAGGGGCTAGCCATATATTGTTGTTATATCCACATGGGTATTATAATCATCAAACTCACATGACCACAGTGTTGGCGCCGGTGTTGTAGTAATAAGAAAAATGACTAGGTAAACAGAGAAAATATATTAATATAGACTACTGACAATTAGGAAAAGAATGAATGAATTGAAGTATCAACAACAAGAATGTAATATAAAAGAACTATAAATTCAAATACAAATTTAGAATATAAAATACATATCTGATTAGCCAGTACAACAGCCGGCTTAATTGTTGTACTTATGAATGGATGCTGCTTGTAGTGATATATTTTGTTACTCAATTTTGTATTTATTTGTATTTATTTACTTTTTTAATTTTGATATTTGGCAGTATATTGTTAGTAGTATATTACATAATTAAATATCTAAAATATTTATATAATATATAATATTAGTAGATATCTATACATTTATATAAATAAAATTGGTGCTCATGGGCGGCGGTAATCACTTACCATCAGGTGAGCCGCATGCTCGTTTGTCCCCTGTGTTATAAGAAAAAAAACATCTAATAGGTCCAAGCATTTCAAATTTTAGCAAGAAAGTTTGCTCTTAAATTACCTTTTTAGACAGAAAGACTTTTTTTTTTAATTTCATATATATACATAGATAATATGTTTATTTTATTTATTCATTTATTTCAGGCAACTAGGCCCATATTATAAATACCTTATAGACTAACATACATATAATATAACATTTAAAAACTAATACAATGATTGTCTGTGTGTCTATAACTTATTATGGGGGGAAGGGGATTGATAGTAATGTGGACTTTTTTTTTTGTGAATGATAATGAAATGGTGCACCCGCCTGCGCTAACGGTTTACTCTGGCGGGGCACCAGTGGAGGATGACAAGATGAGCATGAGGTCAGGTCAGTTAGCCCATTGTGACAAATTCATCAGGAATTTAACACGATGGTTTCCAGGGGGAACCGCTTGGAGGTCGATCTGACATGGTACATTGCTAGCAATGGGGTTATCAATCCACATTACTAACCATCCCCTTCCCCCCAGTAATGTGGACTAATAACCCTATTGGTAGCAATGTACCATGTCTGGATGACCTCCACGCGGTTTCCTCTGGTAAATTGTCATTTACCAATATGGGCTAACTGTCCTGACTTTATGCTCATTTTATCATCCTCCACTGTTGCCCCGCAAGAATAGAATAGAATAGAAAATCATTTATTCAAATAAACTTACATTGAAGCACTTTTGAATAGTCATAACATTTTTTTTTTTTAATCTACCGCTCATTCGGAATGCTGTCTCATCACAAGAAGAACAAGCAAGAAACTTGTGTGTTGCTCTTTTAAATAATTTATTCTTACTTACAATTTAAGTTTAAGTGTGTGAATACAAACCACCGATTAGCACTAATTCAATTAAATAATCAAAAAGAAAAAAATATTGAATACATAACCAACTGGTTAAACAATTAATAAGAGGAAATCAGTCATAGTGATTAGAGCAGACCAGTCCCTACAAGCAGCACCCGTTCACGAGTATGACGGATGAGCCAGCCATCACTGCGCTCGACCATATTTTAGGGAGCCCAATGACCCGGCCCACCACGCCGCCACAAGTCTGGACATTTTAGTGAGCATGACTACTCAAAACACCAGACCACGTCATAGCTACTCACAATTGCCATCTGATGTTTATAGTATTCACATTTCACATAAGAATGCATGCGGCAATTAATACAAAACCCGCTACGCTTTCATATTTCTAAAATAATTGAATCAAGAAAGCAATGAGATAAACAAATTATAACGTTGTATGCTAATAAACTAATTATTTACTTGATATGTTGTCTTCTATGAATTCGTCTATCCTGTAATAGGCTTTCTTACATAAAAATTGTTTAATATAAGATTTGAATTGCCTCTCTGTCAGATTTAGTGCAGATTCTGGCAGTTTATTATAAAATCTTACGCAATTACCATAGAATGAATTACTGACTTTGTGCAGGCGGCATTTAGGTAAAATTAGCTTATTTTTATTGCGTAA